TGCTCTGTCCTCTGATCTTTAGGTAAATTTCATTAGGGTACACAATATATCACCACAAAAAAGTTTTAAAATCTAAAAAGAAAAGGTGTATGTGGATGATACGATAGTGTACGTAGGAATCAGAGAGAAGCTAGAGACAGACAGTTTAGCAGGTAAGAGAACTCACTGCTCTTCTAGAAGGCCTGAGTTTGATTTATAGCACCTACATGGCAGCTCACACCCAACTGGCAACTCCGGTTCCGGGATCTGACGCCCTCTTCTGGCCTCTGCAGGCATTGTGTGCAAGTGGTCCGCAGACACACATAGTCAAACCCCCATATACCTGCAGTCCTGGCACTTAGGAAGCTGGGGGAGGAAGATCAGGCTAGCCAGGACTGTAAACCCCTGGAGGCCAGGCCCTGTCCCTGAGGACCTCCAACCACCAGGCTCTGCCCACAGAACACTCTAATGGCCATAATCACTGAACTCAGCCCCTCAAGACAGGTGGCCAAGCTCTGCTCCATAGAGTAAAATGCCCCAAGATCAGGCTACAAAATCCCACCAATCCCAGGCCACCCTGGAAAGCTCCGCCCCCAAGAAAGCCTTTATACAGCCTACATCTCTCTCAGTTCTTTGCAGCTTCTTTCTCAAGCAGAGGCAGCCACCCGTTTTCCCCATACATCTCCTCTGTGAGGTTCCTTGTGGGGTGTGATACTCTGTGGTATTCCTTGGCTCCCGACTGCCAGGATACCTTTCCCTTTAGAGCTGTAACACTTGCACTAGAGATACCTTTCCCCTCAGAGCTTTACACTTAGATGGACCACACAGCAAAACCTTGCATTAAATACAAAAACAGGGCTGGAGAGATGGCTCAGTGGTTAAAAGCACTTGCTGTTCTGGCCGAGGACCCAGGTTCAGTTCCCACTACTCACATGGTGGTTCACGGCCATCTGTAGTTCTGATTCCAGGGGACCTGACACCCTCTTCTGACCTCCACGGGCAATAAGGCACACATAGGATGCCCAGATATTCATGTAGGCAAAAGACTCATACTCATAAAATAAATGCAGTGATGGTTGCACATGTATACACATATATGACAACTTACTGAACATATTAAGTAAACACAGTTTATTATTATCTGTTAATCACATATAAAACAACAAAGCTGCTGAAATACATTTAATTGCTACATATAAAGATGTTAGGATCTTAATAACACCAAAGGAAGAAATCATCAGCCTGCAGACCAATAAGCATTAAATAAATGATAGCAAGATCTTCTCCTTGGCCCTACCCCACAAAGTCTTACACAACAGTAGCTTTACTAATGAGCTCTGTCATTATCTTCTTAATTCATGTGATAACACTGACATACAGATCCAAACAAAGCAAACATACAGCTTTGGAAGCAATATATAATGGCATTGCTGGAAGCAATATATAATGGCAATCAGGGCATGCCACTCAGTCAGGGAGCCCTCCCACGCACCTCCTGTACCACAGTTCCACACTGCTCTCAGTGAAATGCCAATGGTTATGTCGTTCATTACTCCTGTACCTTTCTTCATGGTTCTAGCTCTCAAACATGTTTCCTAGGGTGCTCCCTCTAGTCTAGTAGGATTGTTTTGCATTTGATGTGTCTTTAGAGCCATGACTACACTGTACTCAGTACCTTGAGTGTCACCCATGGAAGACTCTGGACTCTATCGCCTATAGTCTGTGAGTTTTGCTCTAGGTTGCTCCTCTGCGTCCTCTATTTCCTACTCATCTACAGTTACACATCTACAGTTGGACTTAGGTTCAGTTCTTTTGTCAACAAGAGAGCTGATGCTGCCTCCTGTCACTGAGAGACATAACATCAGCTGACCCGCTCTTGTGACAGTACAGCCAGTTGACCTAGAAACTAATTCATTTGGCATGCAAGTGCAAGTGAGGAGACTGATCAAGATTTTGGAGACTGGGACCAAGGATGTAGCTCAGTGGTAGAGTCTTTGCCTTGTATGTGTAAGGCTCTGGGTTTGATCTCCACTGCTTCAGAGAGGAGGGAGAGAGAGCAAGAGAGGAGAGAGAGAGAATAATATTAGGAGTTAGTCCATTTTAAAGGTGTTAAAAAATTTTATTATCCTCAATGTGGTAGATTAGAAAATTTGGGCATAGCACATTGTGTCTCCACCCAGCAAGACATTAAACTAGCCAGGCACGGGCTTTTAATCCCACCCCTCAGGAGGCAGGGACAGGCAGATCTCTGTGAGCTCCAGACCAGCCAGGCATACATAGTGAGGTCCTGCCTCCCCTTCCCCTTCCAAAAAATGAAACAATACAGAAAGAAAAAGAAATCAGATTCATTTCACTGCTATCATTATCTGACCTAGCATTAAGACTTTTGGTTTTTTTGAGATAGGATACCATGAACCCTGGTTGGCCTCCAACTTGCCAAGGATGATTCTTCTGCCTGCACTTCCCAAGGGCAAAGATTACACATGCACACCACTGTGCCCAGTTATGGGTGGTGTCAGGGATCAAACCCATGGTTTCACACCTGCCAGGCAAACACTCTACCAACTGAGATGCACCTCTGACCAACTGTGACTTATTTTGGATAAACAGAATATGATAGAAACAAAATTGCCTAACTTCTGAAACTAGGCATTGAGAGTCCTGGCAGCTTCTGCCTCCTTCTGCCTGGACTACTGTCCTGAGGTGCTACAAGGTGAGAGCCCTTTACCAGGAAACAGAGACATCCTTCTCTATACCCTCAGGTAACTATTCACAGGACAAGACTGTCAGGGGTGTCATGGCCCTGGTAGAACTGCCACACAGAAGTGTCACAGACCTGTGCTCCCACTGGAGCAGCGAGAATTGTCCAATTCACTTGTGCAGTAGTGAGATGCACAGTTACATATGGTCATCCGCAGGAGTCACGTTTCATACTGTCACATGAGCACAGATCCATTCATTGCTCCTAAGGGAAGGACAGGCTTGGGTCCCGATAAGCTTCTGTTGAAAATATTCTCATCAACCAACCATCAAATTCAACAGCCTGTGTTTGTGCATCTCTGTAATAAGAGGTTGTGTGCACTCTGTTAAATGGGTGGATTCATAGCCAGCAGCATTCTAAATATCTGAGGGGAGCTGCTCCAATAGACTCCTTTTTCTCTATGAGGCCCATCGTTTCTTGCCCTTAACAGCCATGGTAGTCAAGATTCATCACTGCTATGAACAAAGACCTGAGAGAACAATTCAAGGTGAGTAATTTTCATGTTGGCTCCCTGTCTTTGAGGGTTCGGCCTAAGACGGTGGGAAAGGCATGGTGGAGCAGCTCACATTGTGGCAGTGTGTAGCAAACACTGGGAACCCAGGGAGGAGAAAGGGAAAGACATGGTTCTCAAGGACACACCCTCCATGACACATCTCCTCCTGCTAGGCCCCATCCTTCCCCACCTTCCAACACCGTCATATTATGGACACATTTCTGACCCTCATAATCTAATCATCTCTAGACTTGCTCCTCAGAGATGTACCTAAGATCGGCTTCATCCCCTAGGAATTTATTAATGCAAGTTGTCAATCAAAAGGACCCTTCCCATGCTAAGCAACACTTCAGCAATGTGGTTGGGGCCCTTGAAAACCATAAAATCATCAGCAAAATCTACCAAAAAATGTAAGAGAAAAAAAAATGTGGCAGTAGAGATGGAAGACACTGGTTTGCACAGCGATCTGAAAGACACAGAGGAAGCAACATGGCAGTCCATCTTTGCTAGGAGCATGGGCACCAGATGCCCCGAATGTCTGCACTGCTCTGTCCACATCTCCAGGAGAATGGTGAAGACAGAAGCACACTCATCTACGTGGCCACTGAGGGGGAAGTGGTGTATCACAAACACATTAGACCCCTCAGGCCTAGTGAAACGCCTATGGTCCCGTCTTTTGCTGGACAGAGTACAACTTCTAATTAGTACCCGAGTCTTACTGTGATCCCACGAGTCCCTGCGATGATGGAAAATACCAGGCTCCGTTAGAAATCACCTACTCCACCCATGTATATTTCAAGCCATTTCTCCAGGTAGCCTGGTTTCATCTTGATGGCCACAAAGTCTGGCCACAGGAAGTGAGCATCGCCTTGTCACTTGCTCCTTGCGACCAGAAACTATATCTCTGAATGTTCTGTCACCTTTTGTAAAGCATAGTAAGTTCAGTAGACCCAACTACCACTCACCTCTTCCTCTGTATCATGTCGTTTAGAGACAAGGGTTGTACCCAGCTACCATGCCCCGTCACCATGGGTCTCCCCCCAACAAGCCCCTGGCTCCCTGTGACCCATGTCTTGTGTGTAGCCCTACACTAGTGCCCGACTTATCTAAAGTAATCCACATATGTTGGCCAGAAAGAGGAAAAATGTGAGCATTGGCACCTCAGGGTGGAACAGAATTCCTATTCCCTATGCCCAGAAATCCCTCCCATACCACAGACCAAAGAACACCCTATCTGGAGTCATAAACTTCTGGGAGCCGGGGATGTGTAATACAAGAAGCTAAGCCTTTGTGTACTCTGTTGAATCTTTCCCTTCATTAAGGCAACCTGGAAAGGAAAATGGGGACAGAGAAATGGGCTGAGAGAAAGGTGTAGGGTGACAAAGGATCCATGAGAATTCATTTAACCATCCACTCATCCATTCATTCCCCAAATGATTCCTGAACTCCTTGCTCTGGCCCAGGAGCTGGAGAACAGAAGATATGCACCAGCTAGAGGGCTTCCCTGGCCCAGAGCAACAAAATGTCAACCTGTGGAGACAGAAAGAAACAGACATGGGGCCTCTAAAGTGCGGGGGGACTCCAAAGGCACATTACATGCTGATGTCTGGAATATGTGCTGTGGGACTGATGGGCTCAGACCACCCACCAAACTTAGATGGGACAGACAACCTCCTCCAGGAGACTGAATAACTTCCCCTAATAAACGGGGGCCCGTTTCTCTTTAGAGTATGCTATAAGCAGCCAAATATTCCAGATAAACAAAACTTCAGAGCATATGAGACACATTTATTCAGTTCACATCCGAAATCTAGCCTCTCCAAAACTTAGGGGGGCCCTGGAAGTGGCTGCTAGGGTACTGAGGAAGAGGGTACCAGGCAGGACCGCTCCCAGGAGTCTTACGCAGCAAAAGTTTTGTACTCACAGATGGATTCCCACTGTGGTGTGGGGAAATGCTGCCACCCACAACTGAGCCAGAGGTAGCAGTCCCAGGCCCACAACTCTGCGGGAAATGTGCTGTGCCTCCCTGTCTCTTTGTGAGTGCTCACGGAACTCCCGGTTACTGCAGGGTCTCTGGTAAGAGCTATTAAACCGATTAGGTCTTGCGGCCATTCAACACTGATGATGTCTCTCTCCTCTGTGGATGATCTCCAAGGCCTCCATGAGTTATCTCCCTCCGCTTGGCAGGTCAGATAGTCCTCTATCTGGAAATGGTTCACTCTCCTTCACTCCAGGCAAAGCACAGCCCTTATACACTGGTAACTGAGGCCGATGACCGGAGCACCAGGCTAGGACATTTTGCAAGCCCCAAACTCCCTGTGATGCTCCACTGAGGCAAGGGATTCCGAGTGGGATTTGAAGAAAGAGCATTGGCAGGGAAAGAAGGTCGGAGGAGAAGCCTCGTGGGGGCTCAGGAACAAGAGGACAGTGGACCGAGGGGATCACAGGGTCACCAGGATGCCCAAGTGAAGCGCCAGGCATGTGCTTAAGATGAGGAAGCCTGGTGAGTTCCCATACGAAGCGCGACTCAGTTCTCTAACGATCCAGTCTTTGTAGTAACTCACTTCTGTATAAACGCCAGGAATTCCTTTTCGCCCACAGCCGATGCCCCAGCTGACGATCCCCACCTGCACCCACGTTTCATTAAATTCACAGATCAAGGGCCCCCCAGAATCTCCCTGGAGAAAGAGAAAGAAACAAACAACAGGAATGAAATTGATTAACAGCACAACAGATTCCACCCCAAGGCCCTGGAGAGATTGATACAAACCGAACATGCACCTGCTGGTCCTAAATTTCTATGAGATTTTGGAATTAAATTTTCCTTTAACAAATGAACGGTTCTATTAAAAGAGGTTAAGTGGGGCCTGGAGAGATGGCTCAGAGGTTAAGAGCACTGGCAGCTCTTTCCAGAGGTCCTGAATTCAATTCCCAGCACCCACATGGTAGCTCACATCCATCTCTAGTGTGATCTGATGCCCTATTGGGGAAATTATTAAGGCCACTCCACATAGTTAAAAGAAAGATTTATTTAGTGGGTAACTTACAAATGAAGGGATAGGTAGGTCTCAGGGTCTGGGGAAGGTGTATCGCAGTCCAGTGGTGTTCTCTGGAACTCTGCTCAGTCAACCTCCACCATCTAGGGTCCAGGAACAGAGAGAGCGCTCGCCCATCCAAGTCTCAGGACACCTCCCCTGGCCCCGCCTTGTAGGCGTGACAGTTGCCAGAGTCTCAATGGGGGTTGGAACTTCC